CTCCGGCGGAGTCGGGGGGAATTTTAAACCGGCCGGCGAGCCAATTGCTAGCCGCCACGTGTGAATAATTTAGCACTGGCCAATAGCGGGACACAAATTTACATTCGAATAGCAGGAACTCTTTGCACCGTGCATTTCTGTGCTGCAAAGAAGAAATGCATCCTGCAAAGGAAACTGCAAATTGGCGGGAACTCTCTCCTACACGCGGGTTCTCAATTGCAGCAGAACACTCTGCCGTGCAAAGGAGCTCTCATGTGGCCAGGAAATTCCATAGTGCCAAGGCACCAAAATCACTGGGTCGTGACATAACTCATAGTGCTTTTGAGAGACAGCCATGAGATAGACAGACCCCTTTCTGATGCAACAGACATTCCCTGTTGGGTGGTGATGGGGGAAATCAAGCCGATCCACTTTGGAGTGATTCAAATGAGTACCTGCCTGCCTGCAGTGTGTCTCCCCTATCCCTCCCGCTCCCCACCCCCAGCTCTGGTGCTGTCAGCAGGATGGGAGGGAGTATCGAGCTGGGGTTTGCCCAGCCTGAGCTGAAGTCGGGGCAGATGGATTGGAGCCCCCTGCCTTGGAGTGGGGCAGGTTGGGGGGGCTCCAATCCACCCACTCTCACTCTAGCTCAGGCTGGGCAGACCCCAGCTGGTAGCTTCCTTCCGCTCTCTTCTCTCCCTCCCACTCTGCAGACGGCACCGGGGATGGGCCTGGGCTGCATCAGCCCAGACAGAAGTTCATGAAGGTGCAAGGTCCAAGGTTTCCCAAAGGGATAGTGATTAATGAAGCACTTCTTAGGTAGCTGCAGTTTGCCCTTCCCTCTTGGGGCTGCACATCGCTGCTGCTGGACAAGGAAGGTGATCAGAGTAGGACTGTATCTCCACCTCCTCTTTGCTTCCCCTGTGTGCGGATGCTTGACACAGCTCCCAAAACAAGTGCTCGGGTTCCCAACTTCGTAACAGCTTGAGGTTTCACAGTGGCCGGAGGAAATGCTACAAGGATGCACTGAAGACGCGCAAGAGAACAGATGCCAACAACAAGATTTGGGAGGAGCTGGCTGCCAATGCCAACTGACACCAATGACGCCACAACCTCAACCAAAAGGCAGCCTATTTTGAGGTAAAGCATCTCCCCCTCAAAGCAGGGCAGAGAGAGCAGAGGAAGGAAAAGGAGAAATCCCAGCCTACAGCCTAACTCCCATGCAGAAAGACCTGCAGCTTCTCAAGGATTGAATTCTTACAGCACCTCAAGACCCATCAAGGAGCCATATCATCTTCAAAGTGAGGGATTGTCACTGCTGCTGGGGAGGTACTAGGCTGCAGTCCCTCCATCCCGGACAGCGCAGGGACTAGTTATTCTGAGTCCAGCAACTGGGGCGCTCCTGGCACCCTTTAGCATTGCAAACTGTTTGAATCTATTCTGGGTGGTTTTATCACAACATAATGGCATGAATGGCTTCAACGACCTCAGGAAGGCACGCACACATTCCCATTCCATTTTAAAAACCCAATGGACTAACTGTATAAATTGGATTCAGCAAGTATCCTTTAATACTATTAACATTTATTGTCATGCAATTAAATATATATTAATACATTTATACTCTATTAATAAACATTTTATTTCATGAAAATAAGTATTAATATTAAAAGATACTTGTTGAATGTATAAATGTATTACTATTATTAGTATTTATAATAATAGATATGATTCATCTTTATTTTAATGAATTCCCTATCCTTTCTCTCCTGGGTGACTCTCAGCAGCCCCCTGGAGATGTATAGCTAATGACTCCAGGGCAATCCTGGAGGTTTGGCAACTCAGACACTGTTGCCCCATGTCACCCCTCCTGCTGCCTTTTCAGTACAGCACCAAGCACAGTGGCTGCGTGCCCCCTTTCAGTGCCAGGAGGGGAGAGGGCAGCAGCTGGGATGCATCATTGCCAGGTCTTAAATATGAAATTATTATATTTGCTGAAAAACTATCATACATGGAAAATATGCAAATCAGTGTGCAAATACACATGCAAATGAACATCATTATTTACTTTATATTGCTCACTCTAAGGCAGTGAGTGAGTGAGAACTGATTTATCAAAGTTGAAGCATATCTTTATTTTGAGGCAAGCAGTCAAAAGAAAGTGCTGACAGCAAACCCAAAAGTCACTTAAAAGGGCTCCCTGTGAGTGACTTGGGCTTGGCATAATGCTGCATCAATTAGCTGCCTCAAAAATAATACACTTGCACATAAATAAAATAATTTGTTTGCAAATATCTAGTTGCTCTAATAAAAGATACTGCCTCTTCCACAACTTTTAATTCCTTTTGCCTCTAGACCAAGCTGGCAGCAACCTGGGTGCCTTAAATAATATCTTTTATTAGACCAACTTGAATAGTTGGAAATATTCTTCTTAGCATTTTGTCGTCTTAGAACCTTTCCAGCAATTTGATTCGGTGTTATAAGAGACTGGATTTACCCAAAGAACCTTGTCTGCCTGTGCCCTTAAACCAACAGTTACAACCAACACCCCTCAAAAATGATCCTACATTTGGCATCAGATCTCATGGTAGAAATGATATGTTTTATTAGACCAACTACATTTTTGCAAAAACAGATTCTTTAATTGCAAGCTGTCAGGCACAAGCACCCTTCTTCAGGCATAGCAGAAAAGATTGTAAAAGTCCTTCTGGATAGAACTTTTACCATCTTTTCTCCGATGCCCAATGAAGGGTGTTTGTGCCCAAAAGCTTGCAATTAAAAAAAATGTGTTGTGCAAAAATATAGTTGGTCTAATAAAAGACTGTCTCTACTATGAGTCTGTTCCAAACAAGAGATTTTACCACACCTTCAACCATGAATGATGTGTATCCCCAGAGGCTGGGGGGGGGCATGGTGCCCGCCTGCAGGCAGTGCTGGGGGTGGTGAGCGGGGAGCTCCCTCAGGCGGCCACGGTGGTGCTGGGGGTGGGGTGGCAACCACCTGCAGATGCTGCCAGCAGTGTCAGTGGCAGCCAGTGGTGATTGGCGACTGCCTGCAGGTGCTGCCGGTGACAGCGGGGGGCTGGTGAGCATCGGCCACCCACAGGCGCCACTGACAGTGGTGGCAGCAGCCAATGCCAGGGGGTGCACTGCCAATCACAGGGGTTGCACGTGCACCTGCATGCACCCCCTATGCGTCACCAATGCCTTCAACTCTTCTATGAAACATGAACTTCCATTTCTACCCAGGAGAACTTCTACAATCTTTTCTCCAATGCCCGAAGAACGGTTTGTGCCCGAAAGCTTGCAATTGAAGATTTTGTTGGGGTTTTTTGCCAAAATGTAGTTGGTCTAAACAAAAGAGATCACCTCTACCATGAGTCCTGATTGCTTTTTTTCCTCTAGACCAATACAGCTACAACCTGGATACCTGTTTGGAACAGTTCATGTTATACATGGGTGAACATTTAAAACATGTCCATTATACAAGGATGAACATTTTTCAGATGTCCACTATACACTGACATCCATCCAGGAAGAGCACACACCAACTGCTGCAGCTTCCTTAGCCTGACAAAGGGTTTTTGAACCCGAAAACTTGCTTAATAACTATTCTCCAACCATTTGGGTTGGTCTAATAAAAGATATCAAATTCACCCAAGGAACCTTGTCTGCCTACGTCCTTAGACCAACGTGGCTACAACCTAAACCCCTGCACTATACACTGATGCACATTTCTCAAATGTTGATTATACACTGGTGAACATTTGTTCCATGTCCTCTAGACCCTGCTACAGGGGTGCAGGTTGCAGCCGCGTGGGTGTGAGGCCGCTGGCAGACAAGGCTCTTTGGGTGAATAGAAAAGAGACCAGATTCACCCAAAGCCTCTTGTCTGCCTTCTACATTGCTAAGCACCGTTTAAACGCCCCCCACACGCCGGTGCCCGTGGGCCCTGTCCTGAGGGCGCTGCCCGCGCAGCAGGCGGGGCGGGGCGGGGCGGGTCCCGCGGGGACTTTAAAGCGGCGGCCCGAAGGTGTGGCCTCGCCTTTCCTCAGCCCGCGGGAGGGGACAGAGCCGCAGCCTTAGCCTTAGCCTTGCAGGTGCCCGCGGGAGCCATGAGCGTGAACGGCGGGTCGCAGCCGCGGCTCAACACGCTGGGCAGGATGGCGCGGGCCGACTCGGGCACGGACGTGCGCTACGACCTCAGCGCCCACGTGCTGGCCGGCGGCGGCGGCGGGGGGCACACGCACACCCACAAGACCTACTACTACAAGAGCTACGGAGGGGACGTGGCCATGGACGGATACGGGTAGGCGCCCAGCCTGGCTCTGGCCCGGCTCTGCGGGCAGGGGCAGCAAGAAGGATGCCCCGCTCTCCTCTCGCCTCCTCTGTCCGTGCCCTCGTCCTTCTTCCCTGCGCCCTGGCAGCTCCGACATGCACAGCGTGACCCCCTTCCCACCCTCATTTCCTACCAGTCAGATGCTGCCCCTCCAAGCTGCTTCCCGCTCCTGTCAGGTTAAAACGCCCCCAAGCCCCTGCTCCGGCGGGTTGCAGCTGGGTTGGTGTAAGGAGGGACATAGGCAGACACTGGTATCTGTGATGAGACCAACTCAAAGGCCAGGGACAGACAGGAGACTTTTACAGGTACAAGCGACTGGAAACTGGTGTGTACCTGTAACAGAAGAGACAGGTTGGGCCCACCAAACCCGGCTCTACCTGTAACAGAGCAGAAGTTCAGCCCGCACAGACTGGTTAAAAAGGGCAGAGCCCCCTCGAAGAGGCGCATCCCCCCTCGCCAAAGGGTGAATGTGTGTTGTGTGTGACATGGTTGCAAGAAGAGTGTTTCCAACTGTTTGAATTGGTCTAAGAAAAGATATCGCATTTCTCTAAAGTGCTCAGGCAAGTGGCACTTGTCGGGGCTGAGCAAAGCTCCCTGGACTGCAGAGAGAAGCCGCAGCCCCAAGCCGTCTCTCTATGCAATAAAAGAAGTAAAAGAAAAAGATAGGTCTCTATTTGTTTGCCAATCCTGCAGTACAGGAGGGATTTTTAGTTTATTTTTTAGTGCCCTGGGAAGGGCCAGTCACCTTGTGTTTTGGATTTACTGGTTAGGTGGGGGGGAGCTTTTTAATGTCTGTGCCACTGGGTGTTAGGTAGCTGGAGGCAGGCTGCTGGAGGGCTGACAGGCAGCAGAAGTAATGTTTTCACCTCCCATAATATGCAGCACCTGAGGCTATCCTGTAATGGCGTCTGTGTGGGTGAGCGGGCAGAGAGCAGACAGTCACTTTTGCTCTTTGCTTTGCATCAGGTTGCTTCAGCATTAAACCCTGGCAAGCAGCTCCTCCAGGACTGGCTTGGAGTCTGTCTTGAACCCCCAGCTTTACTTTTTCCAAATCTAGCTCTACTTCTTTGTTGTGCATCTTGCAGGACAGAATCCTTTGTGAAAAGTGTGTGGTTCCACTTCTCATCTCCATTTCCTCACTCTTCAAATTCTCTGTAGAAATTTAACTACGGAGTTAAATGTCATCTCTCTGTAGATTTTTAACATAAATCTCTTGTAGTCACTCCTGCTCCATTGATGGCTGGCCCTTGGCGTAAGTGGAAGTGGTCTTTTAGAAGAATTCATTCATAAACACGTTTGGTTTATTGTTACTGCTGCAAACTAGGTTTAAGCCAACACAGATTTAAATAAACGTTAGATGGTATTTTGATATAGTAGAGTTTGCAATCTTTTTTTTCCTAAGAAAGCTAATTTTTGTTAGCCCCCAGAGTGCAACCATGGGATTGTTTTAATTGCTGCTTAGATCACTTCTTAACTCCCTATCCAGTTTCTCTGGACAGTTGCATACTAGATAGATAGATACAAGATGGCAGGGTTAAAAAGCAGAAGAATGTGTAGATGTGTTTATCCTGGTATAAAATGGCTTTAACAATATAGCTCATTCTGATTTTGTAAAGCAAAGTAAACTTTCCTGATATAAAGTGCCACATACCAGTATATAACTGTACTAAGGATTCCTACTGCTTGTCAGTATGCCAGTAAAAGAAAAAAAATCACATCATTAAGCATTATAGTTATGCACTTAACATTTTAAAGAATAAATCTAGTGCAGACCAGGTTGAATACGTTTTATTTGCTCATGCATGTCTTTCTTATCTCTGTCAGACCTTGTAATTTTAAGTCCTGATTCTGTAACAGATTCCAGATGAGTAGATTCCGCAGGGAGGAGGGAATTCTGACTCCGGCTCTGGGTTAACAAAGAAATTCTGCTCTGACTGATACTGGTGTATGTTCAGAAGTGTTATGGGGTATGATATTTGGCCCCTGTTTAAAGAAAAAACCAAGTGCTGTGGTCAAAGTATATGCAAAAGGCGTTTTCCACTAATCCCTCTGATTACTGATTACCCTGAGTGAAAAATAGCAGGAAGAATTTATTTTGATTGTGCATTGGTGCTGCCTGCACCAATGATGAAACATCTATCACAAATCCAGCACTTAAACTTCCCATTTTATTGACAGTGCATTTTTATTCCAGCCCAGGCAAGCTGTAAATACACATATACACCAAACAATAACAGTTTTATGTTCAATGTTAAATCAAGTAAATCCATAAAAGGGCTAGCACCTACAACTCTGCTTAGGTGCATATCCTTGGAGAGAGGGCAATGCAACAATAAACAAAGCTATGCATTGTCTGGTTCCTGTGACTCATGTGCCCAGACTTCCAGTTTGTAGTTTGTTTATTTTGAGGCTTCTCTGTATAACGCTGATGAATAACTGTTAGTCCATACTGCTATATTATTTTGAAATCATGTATAGTAATAACATACTTTATAATACCTATTCATGTTTCAAATCTAAATTACTGTATATATAGGCAACAATCAAATATTGCACTAGGGACATATAACGTCAACAGGCACTTGGGATTCCTTGATGCAGTACTTATACGTATAGGGTGCCTATACATATGCAGACTCCAGCGTCTTGTGTATCAGCATCTCTGTGCTGAAAAGTGGCAGCAGGGGCACTTTAAAGCTCATTCAGCAATCTTCAGTTAAAGCACCCCTGCTGCTATTTTTCAGCGTGGGGATGCTGATACATATGACATTCTGTGTGCTTTAATTAGAACACCCCCCACTCCTGGAGCACATTTATACATGCCCTTAATTCCAAGACTAAAAGCCGAGGTGTGGGGGTTTTTTTAGTGTCTGTTCTGCCAATAAGACCCTACTTCAAATGCTATAAACTTTCATCTGAAGTTATACATGCACATTAACCTGCTCAGGTTTTACCTAGTGTAATTACATAGGCTTCTTTGCAAGTTCCTTTGCAGTTTTTCTTGATCTACAAGGGGAGAATCTATTCCTTATAATCTAGAATTCTATTTTTTGTTTATGTTTTATGTGTAACTCAGTCTTTCCTTTTGTTTTCTTAAATTTTACTAATAATATAAGTAGGCAAACTATTTCAAGATGGACTTAGCCTGGAGTCTTTAATAACCGTGTCTTACCATCCTTTCATTTATCCTTAAGGGCATATCATTGCTTTCATTTTTATTTGTTTTTATTGACAGGGCCTATTCCTACCTGGGGTTTGCACTAAAAATGTCTCTTGACTTCATCATGAGATTCTGACAGCACTTCAGGAGAGTAGGAAATTTATAATATAAAGACAGGAGGTGATTGTTCAGTAGGTTTTAAATAGGTCTTTTTTTAAACATTAAATATCTTTCCTATGCACTAGGGAGTATAGTTGAAGGGTTGGTATTTTATTAAATCAATGATTCTTTTAGTTAGAATGCATCTAAAACGCACATAAATGAGACTTCTACTGCTGTAGAACTAGGAGGTAATGTGCATTGTGTACAGGATTTCTGTTGGTATCAGTGAGGATTGTGTATGTAGTGAGTTGGCAGGATCAGGGCCATGATGAACTCTTTAATGGATTTTTATAAACTGCATTCACGTTGGCAACTTTTATGTCAAAACTTAGAAATGCTGACATGACAAAACCCCTCTTTTTTTTTCTTTTTAAAGACTAACGCTACTGTACCTTAATCATAAATGCAGTCAGGTTCCATTTGGGACTCCTTCTCCCTTGGGGGTGTATTCTGCCAAAGTTGTTCACAATGAGCTGCATATTACTCACAGGCGCTCCCTACCCTAAGGCCGAGCAAGCTGCTTTTGCAACATTCCCAGCTTCTGATCTCCTGGGAACTTTGAGTACAGATACTTTGTTTGACAGTGAATCATACCATCAGTAAACTCCCAGTGCAGGTATCAGTTGCTTGGTTAGGGCTTTGTTTATATTGGTAAAATCCAGGATACAATGAGGGAAGGGGGAAGAGACAGTGGCAAGTTAGGCAATGTTATTTGTCAATCCATAGATAATTATCAGGCACCTGAGACTTGGGTGTAAATCCAAATTCATGTACTAGCTGAAATTGACTCCAGCTTCCATAAGCTGCCAGTTGCAAGGTAGCAGGAAATTCACACGGAGGCCCTGGACTAACTATCCACGGCTGGTCAAAACAGGAATGAGGCAACGACTTTTTTGAGCGATTATCTTTTATTGAACCAACTGCATACAGTTGGAATGATGTTGTAGTTGTGATGGTCCAGGTAATATGTGTGGCAAGGGTTTTTGGGGGTGGTATCTCTTATTGGACAAACTGTATACTCTTGGTCCAAGAAAAGATATCATCTCCCCTAAAAATCCTTCTCTTACATATTCCTTGGACCATTATGACTATAATATCACACCACAAATAAGGAAAGCAAGTTTCAAATTTTCTTTTGCCCAGGCCATACTTCACTGGGTCCTGAACGATAGGAGGAGCCAAATGTCTCCTTTGCACTGATACCGATTGCTGTGCCTTTAGAGCACAGAGTTGTTAGAGAGTAGCAAAAAAAAAAAAGAGAGAGACAGAAAATAGAAATAAAAGAAAACAGCTGTCTTGCAAAGTGCGCCACAAACTAGCATAATTAATTACTGTACTTATATTGAGAAAGAAGAAACTTGTTCCAGCGGCATATAGTAAATGCTGCAATAGAGCAGGCACTGAAGTGGTGTGGAAAGTAGGAAAACTAGACTGTGCCTATCATAACTGGCCTTTCTAGAAGAGCATGGGTAACAGTGCTTCCTTCACAAGCTGGATTTGAAAGAATAAAATCTTTCCTGCGAAGGGAAAGGAATCCACTTTCAAGAGGTGGATCTCTAAAGGAGGTATATTTCTACATCTGCTTACTAAACTAGCACCTTTGGTCCCAACAACCAGCTATTCTAGACTTAAAAAATGGGAGAGAGCT